AGGTATCCTATTGTCTTGTATTTTAGGTGAATTATTCTGTACATTTCGTACTTTCAGATTACGTAAACTCTTTGAAAATTTTTCCTACGCTTTAGATGTAATGAAAAGAGCAGAAGAAAATCAGTTCTTTCATAGCGTCGACCTCTTATGAAGTGTTATAGAATACTTCAGCCTTATAACACACACTGCCTGTTGCGAATTTGTTTGCAGATGACAATGTTTGCATGTTTCAGTAGCTGCGCATTTGATGTGCTTATAGAAATAAACAATTGCGGTTCCACTTGCACAACAACAATTCGCAAAAATTTGTGAAACCGCTAATGTCATTAATCAGAAACTAGCCCAGCCAGTTTCGCGTTATGTACCGGTCGTGGTACTTGTCAAGTTTTTCGCTTTCATACTGTTCTGTTAATTTTAGGAAGGGCACTTGTCACAAATTATAATGATCTTTCACAAATTGTTAACTTGAAGGGTATTAATGACCGAAGTAAGAGCGTTTTTTAGGATCAGGAAGAATTGCTAATTAACAGAATAAAGATATTTCGCACCTAATGTTAGTTCAGCTACTTTTACCTTCACATCTCAGCATTACACCACGTATGTGGTCATTTTACTGTACTGTATGTAAAAGTGAGGAGGTCAAGCAGGAATAGTTATGAAAAGGAGGCCTGCAGTTAACCTTGTGAATCAAAACCTGTTTCTGATAAGATTTTATGTTAAGGCGCTATTTTATCCTCATTATGCATGAGCTTTATGCTATAAAGCTCATGCATAACGAGGATAAATTATGTTGCAAAGTAAAATTATGGCTGATTCTAGAACTGCTTCATTAGCTATTTGAGCGCCCACACTTGCTGAAATACCAGTGAGATGCAGTTTGACTCGCAAATACAGGCCGCTTTTTAAGCCTTGCTGCCTAGTGCTTGCGAAAACAATGCAAGTGTAAATGCTTGCACAAGGCATCATTTGCACCGATAGACCTTTTAAATTCGATGTTTTATTTTCATCATCATGGCTACACGATAGAAAAACAACATGGTGGTACACTTTTATACACAACCCGATGAGCATATATGCTTTCAGTAAAGTGCTCAATTTAAAAATGTACAGGGAATAGACAGAGCAGATATAAATGGTATGGCTAAGTGCACACGAGAAGGATGAAATACAAGTGGTGACAGTGCCGCAGGAGCTCAGTTCAAGCGAGCACATCTTGTGACTGATGTCCAATACCGAAAATAGAGAGTCCAATGATGTTGAAGGAGATAAAAGAGTGGGTGCGGAGCTTCGTGTTGTCATCAAGTTGGAAGGCGGACTTTTTCGGTACAATAGGTGGCTCGGAGAGTTTCCAGTAGGGTGCATGCCAACTCGGAGTGGCCGCATGCACGAACGGCAACAGTTTATGGTAGCATCGTTGGTAAACCCCTAGAATTTCTTTTGTTATGGAAAACGCTATCGCAAAGGAAGTGTTTGACAATAAAAAAGTGAGTCCATGAGAGGAGATAAACAAGGTTGTTTGTCTACGGGCTAAGCCGAGGTGTCTTCCTCTCTTCCCGATAAGGAACGAGTTGTGCAGCAATGCAACCCGCACTATTTGACGGCAACTTAAAGGGATCAGCACTTAATCGCATTAGGGCGCTTTGACGTACTCGAACCACATGGGTCTGCCGTACTCGCAAGT